GGTAGGACACAGTACTATGAAAATATGATGGTTAGAAAGGCATTCTGTGAGTTCACAGATAGTAGTTTTGGCAGAATCTTTGTGGACACAGGTAGGTCCCTATCTAGAATATATATCTCTTTCTCACTCTGCTATCGAGTTGATTCTAACTGTGATCCTATAGTATAGAGTAGAATGCCCCTGTGCATGTCTGAGATTGTGTAATCTTTACTGGGATAGAAAGCTTCATCGTTTTCCTTCAGGGTGCTGGTAGTTTCGACCAGCACATAGCCCACTTCACCATCTTTTGAGAAAGAATTCAAAAGTTTTGAGTTTCTCAAAAACGCACTGCCATCAAGTCAATGCCAACTCATAGCAAACCTGTATATTAGACATGGTAGAACTGCCCTTGTGAGTTTCCAAGACTATAATGCTTTACAGGCGTAGAAAGCCTTATCTTTCACCTGCGGAGCCACTGGTTGAACTACTGATCTTGTTTGTGGTTAGCATTCCAAAGCATAACCATTACACCACCAGGGCTACCCACTCCATGGTTTAATTAATGTACTCCATTTACCAGCAGGAGGCAGGCTGTTCTACTTGTGAAATGGTCCTCTATTGGGAACCCAATGCTGGTCTTAGCTATTAGCATATTAGGCACTGATCAGTAGTGTTAGCCAGCTCTGCCTCAGTAAGGGGAATTCCCAGTTGTTGATCCAATCCATAGCTTCCCATTCAGCAACATGGACATTTTCTTTCATGGGTCCATTAAAAGAAACCCTGGGGAAAGAAATTAATTGATATTCACAGAACACATTATTTTGTCCACAGGATTATAAAGTCTCTTCTATAGTGGGTACCCTTCAATAGGCCTTCACATGGAACACAAAGGTTTTTGAAGTTTTGACAGGTCTGTTCTGAGAGGTCCATCCACATATCTTTCCCTCAAATTTCTATTTCATCAGCTTTTCAATCTTGTTTTTTCCAAGCTTCTGACTAAACCCTTAGTAAATATCCATGAACAAGTATAAGTTTATACTCTGGCAATCTTTTACTTCAGACAAGGTTGGCAGCTGAATTTATGGGTCAAGTTTTTCCCAGATGAAAGATAGAAATGAACAATATAACTAGAAGATTAGGAGAAAATAGTAATGCTATCAAATATTTCAATGAAGGAACAAAAAAGAAAAGAATAGAAGAAATTATAAAGGAAAGGATTGTTTATATAAAAATAAAACTCTAGGATAGCAAAAAATAAAGGTTAGTAGTGAATATAAATTATTATAATTGATTAAAAAGTTATCATAGATGCATATTAAAAAACATTGAGACCCAATTAAAATGACATAATAGGATATAAACAGACAACTGTCACAAGAGGCAGTATAGATAGAAAATGAATATATAAAATGATGTTTGATTTCAATAGTAATTTAACAAATACATATTTGTTCATCAGTCTATTCAA